TTAACAAATTGTGGCTTAGACCAGAAAATAGTCTTTGAGCTCCAACATTCAACACCCTTTCTCCCTCCAACGTTCAAGAAAATTTACGATTTTGTCCCAGATTTCATTTCCCCCAACATCTGGACTCAGAAAACCTCAGCAAGTCCATAAAAAAGGCATTAAATGAGAGTGTAAAAAACTAACAGAGAGTTCAAATATCTTGCAAGAACAATAGAAGCTCATCTCAGTATCTGAAACATCTGAATGGTTTCACCTGTATTTTGTGAGGCTGAATCCAAACACAGCTGCAGCTGAATGAAATATAAGAGAAGAAAAAGAGACCATTTTTGTGCATTACAGTGTCAGACCTATTCCAGTAGAGGAGAAAGAGAAGAAAAAGATCTTTCTCTCACTGCCTTCTCTTATTCTTTTTTCACAAACAGTTTCAGCACAGTCTCAGTTGTTCTTTCAGTTCTTCACATGTTCTTTTTTCATTTGAAAGAAATGTATATATTAAATTGATCAAAGGGACAGTAAAGACATTTTATAATGTTACAAAAGTATATTTCAAATAAATGCTGCATTTAAACTTTCTATTCATCAAAGAATACATGTATCACAAAAATGTGAGCACCAAATCAGCATATGTGACACTGAAGACTGGAATAATGGCTGCTGAAAATTCAGCTTTATCATCACAGGAATAAATAACATTCCAAAATATATTAAAACAGAAAAGGGTTATTTTAAATTGAAATAATCGATTTAAATTTCTTTTCACAATGCGCTTCACAATGTGAGTACCCAGAAAAGCACTATATAAATGTAATTTATTATTATTATTATTATTATTATATTTCACAATATTACTGTTTTTACTGTATTTTTGATCAAGTTCTTTCAGAAACACTTAAAAAATCTTACAGACCCCAAACATCTGAACAGCAGTGTAAGTCTAAATCTGAATCTGTTTTTTACTTTATTTAGTACCCATGGGATATGTTATGTTGTGTTTTTTGTTCACAGGTGATTGATCTCCTGGTTTCTGTTGGGCTAAGTACACCACTTCTTAATAACCTGCATGATTCAATGTATCATTCATGTCACTTGCACAAAAAAAATTAGTTATGTGGCAAATATTAATACTTAGAGTTAAGGGTTTGTTCCAATCACTAAATAAGTATGAGCAATAGTAATAGAGAGGCCATTTAGGTTAAATTTAATTAAGAATAACTTTTAAGTAGCACTTTGAAATAATTTTCAATTTGTTAACTTTAATTAATGCATTAGGTATCGTGAACTTACAGTGAACAACAATTCTTAAAAACCTACTCCATTAAATAATGATTATATTGAATCCTGTACTAACTTTTCTTTATTTTTTTTATTTAGTTTGCTTTAGATTCACTCAGTCTAAGGTTTACTGCATGCTCCATCGTCTTTTTATTGCTGTATAGACCATAATGACTTCTTATTCAAAACAGCATCTTGCAACCTGGTTCTAACTCTTATCAGTCATCTGACCAGGTTTGGGAAACTAGCTGCATGTTGCCATGGCAGCACAGTCTGCCATTCTTCTAACAGAGGGTTGATGGAAAAATCTTCTTTGTGTTCAGCATGTACATGATTTAAGGTAGAAGTATCAGTCTCTCTTGTCAAGTTTCTGCTGCCAAGGTCAAGGACGGGACATGATTTTTTTTCCCATTGGGAATTTACAGGATCATTGTTGTTTGGCAATTGCTGCAAGCTCATGTCATGATATTCCATAAAAAATAAGAATGGTCAATTTTGATTTCATGGTGACTTTAAGCATGCTGACTTTGAACCATGAAACAATAACATCAAACGCCAGGGAGTGTGGGACAATGCAAAACAACTCAAAACTAGATTGCTTCCATTATAATCAACAAACTACACTTTGCAATCAGTTGACTTGAAAAGTTCGCAAAATTAAGAGTAAACAAAGATAGTGATGTCTCTAATGTTCCTCTCTCTAACCATCTTATCACCTCTAAACATCTTCTACATGTTCTTTCTCCAGCATTCATCAACTCATGTCTTCCTACTAGTATCTTTCCCCATCATATTTAAGTGGGCTCAGATAACAGCTCTGCTCAAGAAACTTAAACCTATTAGTGCAGTAAAAAAAACAATAGAACTGTCCCACACAGGCTCATCAGAAAAAAACATGCGAAAAACAGAACACTTGCTCTCTCTGTTCCTCTGTGATGATGGAGTTTCTCCACCTCCATCTGATCTGCTGAGATCTCACAGCCTTCAAGACTGAAGACACACCACTTCTCTGAGCATTTAAACCATAACCGTAAACAAAGGTAAATACATTTTGTACTTCTCTGGTTTAATCTTGAAATCTGGTGTTAAGGTACTGCTACTGCTGTTAATATTAGCTTTTGTATGATAAATTGCTTGTGCTTGTCCTCATTTATACTGTAAGTCGCCTTGGATAAAATCATATCTTAACTGATTAAGTCTAAATGAATAAAAGTGAGAAAATCAGCAGCCAGAGTGTGCGTGCATTACACAGAAACAGAAAAGAGAAGAAGGATTGACTTCTGGCCTTGGTAAAAGGCTACTTTATTCCAAAAGAGAGTGTGTGTTCTTTTATAGAGACAGAAGGGTTGAGTGCAGTCTATTATTCAGACAGGCGAAGGTCTTTAAACAGCCAGTTCACGGACACAGCAACCTTAGAACAAGTCTTTTTTTTTTAACAGTCGACTTGATGGATTCATGTCTTTGAACTGAAAAGTTACATTAAAAAGTATTTAAGCAAACAGTTTACTCTCCTGGAAGGTCTGATTTGAGATCAGTGTCTGACAATCAAGAATCTGATTCTAGATCAGTTTTTGATTCTAGATCACTACTTGTGCGTAAATTCACATAAATCTGAGCTTAAAAATAATGTGCAACAGACTTTGGCAAAACCTTTATAGGAAAACGTTTCATTTGTGCAGAATTAGGCATCAGGGCATCATAAAAACTCCATTAGGACATGGAACCAAATCCCAGACCCAGTTTGACGGCTCCCCGTTGCTGGTATTCATTTTGTCAATGTCTGAAATTCTTTTATCACATTTTTTCAATTTCCTTTTCTCTTTTTTTCTTTTCTATACTTCTGTACTCCTCTCTTATAACGTTCTGATCAGACCTAAACTGAAGAGCTGGGATGTAATACTGGGTACCCAGTTATCTATTGAAATATCTGCCCAGAGCCATTAACTGAACCAACCAATAGATCCATTTTGGAAAGTGAATGCCAGCTCATTTTTCCACCGCTGTCTATTACAGAAGATAATGGACTCTCCTAAAACCCAGCTCTGCCCACTCCACCTGGCATTTGCCATTACTGCTACCGTACGGAAACCAGTTGGAGAAATAACTGTAATTCAGAAATAATTACGACTGGCATTCTGAAAATTAAACTTCGCCTGCCGAGAAGCGGTATAAGCAGCATATGACAGAATGAAAAATTCAACTCGTTGCCCTCTCTTTCTCTTACTCGCTCTCTCTCCACTCAGTTCCCCAGCGAAGCGTGGAGAGGTCTTGAAAAGGAACACACGGTTCTTTAATTTGTCTCCTGTTCTAGCTTGTGTTTCGCTGTTGCCTTTAACTGGAGCTGACCAGCTTTATTGGACAATGAAGAAATACCAAGATTTGCAGATTAGGCTACTTCACTATTCTGTTGTGTAAAAAACAAAACAAAAAAAAACATGAATTACTTTAGTTTAAGTGTTTTAAAAAATCAGTGGCGTGAGGGAAAGAATTGAAAGAAATTGAGAAAGTTCCATTATGTAGCATAAATGCTTTTGGAGCAAAATTAGTTGAAAAAAGTTTGAATGATCAACTGCACCTGTTGGTCCAACGCTCATTAGACCTTAGTCATGACAGACGCCATATTGAATATTTCGCAAAAGTTTCAAAAAGTTTTGTGTTACTAACCACTGAAAAAAAGTTTAGTTTTTTTGTGTCAGCTGAACAATTTGCAAGTTAAACAACAGTACAATCATGTTAAACTGTACTTGTATTTCTCACTGCCCCGTTTTCATTCCTGTCAGAAATTAAATATGTATAAAATAATAACAAAAAAATTCCCACACTAGAAAACATTTACATGATGCTGCATTCAGGTGTCAGAACAAAAGGACCATAGCCATTAAACCTTTAATTGTCTTCTCTTTTTCTTTATCATTTTTTTTTTTTTTTGAAATGTACATTTTGTAGTTAAGAAAAAGGTCAATAAAGAGTGCATCACAATGCTGTGTTAAAGTTTGAAGTCCCCCAAAGTAAGTCAAAACAAAGTTTGGGGGAGTCTTAAGTAGGTACAAGTGCATAACTGTATAGGTTTCAGTATATATGCGTAACGTTTTGAAATCATTTTTCATCATATAGTTGATTTTCAAGTTAGTCAAAGCGCGCGCACTACGTAAACGCTGAGCAGAAGTTCACTGCGCGATTCTTTCCAGAAGCCTCAGTACCATCTACGAAGACGAAGTACTCTCATAATTGATTTATTATGCATTTATTACGTTTAAATATGACTACGTGTTTTGTTTAAAAGTTAAGTAGGCCTACTTGACGTTTAATGGCGAACTGTTCCTGCCTCCAGGTGCGCCAAAACACCACTCAGTTGCGGTGCGGAACGAGCCTCAACAGAAGATTGCGCTAAATCTTTCAAATGTATTAACAAAACTGCATTATGAAGATAGCCTGAAATAGCCTATTTCGCATACCAATAAATAAAAATAAGTTACAAGCGTTTTAATGTGGTAAAATCACATCAATGAATTCTGGTGGACACTTGATACCGTGAACTTTGACCATGGATATGGTGAAGTGTGATATGATATGGTAATTTCCTCTAGTCCTGTCATAACTTGTAAATCTCTGCCACACGCAGTTAATCTAGGGGCGGCTCCGGGAGGGCGCGGCGGCCAGTGACTCGCGATTCTAATCTTTATATCCAAAAACAGTTTTTTGCCAAAGTACAATCAGGCAAAGTGCGCTATTAGGACACTACCAGGTGTTTGCATGTCTCTCTCTCTCTCTCTTTCTCTCTTGCGTCTGTTGCTAACTTCAGTGCTCTTCTTTCTCTTTGTGCGCGCAGTATATCAGATCGATAGGCTGCGCAGCGCGTTTACAGCTGATCAAACAGATCTCTGCTCTGCGCTCTCCAGCTCACATCACCTGCTGCCTGCATGCTGTCGGTAAGTGCCATTTCTAACTACCGTGAAATCATAGTTTCCTTTCATTAAAAATGTGCTAAATTAGTGCTAGTTGCCACTGTCTTGAAAAATGAAAGAGATACTCAAAGTTTACACTGTTTGAAGGATTATGATTTTACCCAAGTGACAGTAGGTATTTTGCCGGAAGCTAAGGCTACCATTGCAATTTCTAAGGAAACCAGAGCGTTAATTGTTAGTGTTCATGTGAGACAAAAGGTTTAGTAAACAAGATGTTCTTAAACTTTAAACACTTTTGAAATGGCTAAGGAGTGCGCATGATGCCCAAAGATGTTGCTTCGTTAAGCTGCTGACTAGGGTTTTAGAGACAGAGAGAGAGAAAAACTTTATGAAACTTGTTGCAGCGGATGAATGAATTTAATGATTCGATGTTTAGGTGATGATAACCCAAGTGTGCTTCAATATAACCATGCCCGGGACCCCAAAAGAGCCACAATGGGGTGCTAGAAAATATCACATATAAAAAGTACAAGCATGTTATATAATAATTTTATGTAAAAAAAAAAATGACAATATAGTTTTTTTTATCCTTTCTTCTATACATCAAAAAATGAAATCTAATAAATAATATATTTTTATTTATTTATAGCAAAAAGAGAGTGTTTCAAATAACATATTCATTAAGTATGGTGTTAAAATGACCATCTGTTGGGGGTTAGTATTCCTGTATTGCTTTTTTGTATCTCAGAGGCCAAGGGCAAAACTTCCAAAATATCTGTTCTGCAGATACATCATCTGAAACCACAAGCCCATGTAACTAAAACAAGGAACTGCTACAACATTCAGTTGTTCAGAAGTAGCATATAAAGCAATGTTTTGTGAGTGGTGGTGCTAAAAACCCTTTAGAAACAAGTTTTTGAGGAACAGTTGTTTGTCATCTTTGTTTTCTGTGAACCTTTCTGCACACACTATGAGTTACATCTACACTGCCAAACGTGGACAAATTTATGTATTTTAATGATCTTTAAACATTCCAAAGGCTTATGCTTAAATCCATGAAGTTAGTTCATTTAGCAGATAAATACAAAATGTTTCCATGTATGAATGTGTTTTCACGGGTAATATTTAACTTTTTTTTTTAAAGCATGCAAGAGTTGTCTTGGCAAGTGTAAAGTGCAGCTCAGTGTAGTCAGGTTGATTCAGTCTTATGTAATGTTTTTCACTTGAATAAAACCAGCTTATGTAGATACCACGATCTTTGGTTACTTGACAAAACATTTTTTTAGAGGACTACCTGTACATCCATTTTCATTCTTCTCTCTGTCCCTCATGTTATAGAACTTCATATTTTCATCATAGCTTCATCAGTTATTTTTTTCAACACTTTTTTTTAAATCCTCCAAGTTATTTGCCTTTTTAAAAATCCTTTTAAAAAGTGCCATATAGAACATACTGAAAATTGCCGGGACACATTACCTCTTCAGTTCATGTGTCTCAGGGAGACACCCAAGAGAATTTGAAGGAGGGGAAGAAACACTCTTTATCAGTTTAGACAGAGGTCCTTGTCCTCTTGAGCAATGGATGAGAACTCACACTGAACAGAATGGCCTGTTATCATTCAAAATCAGTGGTATTTGTACAGATGCCATCCTTTTAAAAACAATAGACTATTATTAATTTAACATATGCACAAATAAACCATTTGCTGTGTTTACTTATAATTCCTGTAAAATACTGTTTTTATGAAAAAAACGACCTGAGGTGTAATGTCTTTTTAGCATTTAAAATGAGATATTGCTGGGGTTTGGGTTAGCAGCAGGAGGTTTTAGCCATGGGCACAGCAAAAACACACACATATGCGAGTGGACTGTTCTGTTGACAGGTTTGTGTGACAAGTGATAGGAGAATTGGATCAAACTTTATAGACTGTAATCAGTCTGTGTCATTTAGTAAACTCAGAAATCATGCTCTCTAACTTTCTCTCTTCTTGCGCCAGATAACTCTCAGTCTAGGATTTTAGAAGGCTTTTTCTTATCATCCCTCACTCCCTGAAAAAGAAGCGAGCCTCAATTAGGAAAGCATGAATAGTGTCAGCGATCGGAGTGGTTTCAAGCATGAAGAATGTGCGTATCTACACAGATGTGTGTGCATAATTATTTGTGTGAAGGTTTACTACAAGTGCAGATACAAGGCTCAGTTACTAGGGTGATGTGGGCGTTCATATGTCCGTTGTGATATAAATGGAAACTTAATCCTTGTGTAAGTTCAAAGAAATCTCAAGTTGGCAGGAGGACCTTATTAGGATGGAGAAAAGTTCTCCCAGGGACTGTTTGTGTGTGTGTGTGTGTGATTTGTGTAGGGGTTTCTTTGTCCTGTCCTTGGCCTTTTGTTCGGTGGTATGTGTGTCTGGATTGTAGCCAATCGGAGCTTTACAAGAGCGGCAGGAGGAAAGTGCTTTCTCCGTCTTCCAATGAAATTTTCATTCAAAAGTTGCTTGAGTAACCATGACCATACTAAAAATGGACCATACTAATATAAAAATATGTAAAACTGTTATTATAAGTGTTATAAACCTAAACTTCTGGTATGGTTGCATGTGTGATTTTATATGGTGAAATATAAGGAGCAGTCTGTTTATTTTAATGGGGTTTTGTGCTCTTGTACTTAGACCATCTGTTGCACATGTGTGTGTGTGTATCATATTCCAGTGTGTTTGTCAGGAATGTTTTCCGAGGAGTCTGTGTAAGACAACAAGCAACAATATAGCAATAAAACAAAACAAATATTATGAATTTTGAAGCCAAATATTGTATGAACTGCATTTTCCCATAAAGTAATTAAATAAATAAAGTAAATTTCCCTTTTCAGTAGAGACAGAGGCAGATAAAGAGGGAGGCGACGTCTCTTCTGCCTCATTTGAACTCATTTTATTCTCAGAGAGGTCTTAAATGGTTGAATAAATTGAATGGCAAAATTGCAATAAAACATAAACAGTATTTTAGAGTTGTGCTTTGAACAACAGTGCACCTGCTCCAGACAGGTGCTTATGCGGGATGTTCATGTTCAGTTCCAGGGTTCCAGTGGTTTTAATAGTGTGATTTACAGGCCTGGAAACATTATGGAAATGTTTTAAACCCATGGAACAACAATGAGCATTTCGATAGTGAATCTAATATCTATGTTGCATAACTGTAACATGTTTCATCAGCCAAATTTGTTTCTTTTGAGTGAATTTGTTATGAAATTATTTTTAACAATTCTCAATTTAGTAGCATGAAAAGCTGAAAAGGTCATAGAGAATCATTGTTTAGAAAGTGTGGGAACCCAGTGTTCTGTACTGCTATCATACACCCCCTGCCTCTCGCTATCCCATTCTAAATGCTGTACTTGTGCATTGTTAAAAATGAAGAAAATCATTAAAAAGCATAATATAATATTATACTTTATATACCAATGTTCAAAGATTTTTTTTTAAATAAATGATAATTTTTTTCAGCAATGATGCATTAAATTAGTCAAAAGTGAAGGCATTTATAATGTCACATGATTTCTATTTCAAATAGATGCTGTTCTATTGAACTTTCTATTAGAGATGCACCGATTGACCGGCCAGGGACCGGAATTAGCCGGTTTTCCGCATGATCGGCCCTGAACGGTCAGTTTGCCGGTGTTCTGACGATTTTTGACGATACCTGCTCAGATTGTGCTACCTCCCATTAAAAAGATAGGTAGCACAAATCGATAGTGAAAAATGCTACCTATCAGATTGTGCTACCAGCATCTTATTCATGTGGTTTGAGACTTTTTTTTATGTCCATACCCCTACCCTAAACCTACCCGTCCATACCTACCCTTACCCTAAACTTATTCTTAAAACAATGCAAATATATTTTTGGTAGCACAATCTGATAGGTAGCTATGGTTGCATGTGTGATTTTATATGGTGAAATATAAGGAGCAGTCTGTTTATTTTAATGGGGTTTTGTGCTCTTGTACTTAGACCATCTGTTGCACATGTGTGTGTGTGTATCATATTCCAGTGTGTTTGTCAGGAATGTTTTCCGAGGAGTCTGTGTAAGACAACAAGCAACAATATAGCAATAAAACAAAACAAATATTATGAATTTTGAAGCCAAATATTGTATGAACTGCATTTTCCCATAAAGTAATTAAATAAATAAAGTAAATTTCCCTTTTCAGTAGAGACAGAGGCAGATAAAGAGGGAGGCGACGTCTCTTCTGCCTCATTTGAACTCATTTTATTCTCAGAGAGGTCTTAAATGGTTGAATAAATTGAATGGCAAAATTGCAATAAAACATAAACAGTATTTTAGAGTTGTGCTTTGAACAACAGTGCACCTGCTCCAGACAGGTGCTTATGCGGGATGTTCATGTTCAGTTCCAGGGTTCCAGTGGTTTTAATAGTGTGATTTACAGGCCTGGAAACATTATGGAAATGTTTTAAACCCATGGAACAACAATGAGCATTTCGATAGTGAATCTAATATCTATGTTGCATAACTGTAACATGTTTCATCAGCCAAATTTGTTTCTTTTGAGTGAATTTGTTATGAAATTATTTTTAACAATTCTCAATTTAGTAGCATGAAAAGCTGAAAAGGTCATAGAGAATCATTGTTTAGAAAGTGTGGGAACCCAGTGTTCTGTACTGCTATCATACACCCCCTGCCTCTCGCTATCCCATTCTAAATGCTGTACTTGTGCATTGTTAAAAATGAAGAAAATCATTAAAAAGCATAATATAATATTATACTTTATATACCAATGTTCAAAGATTTTTTTTTAAATAAATGATAATTTTTTTCAGCAATGATGCATTAAATTAGTCAAAAGTGAAGGCATTTATAATGTCACATGATTTCTATTTCAAATAGATGCTGTTCTATTGAACTTTCTATTAGAGATGCACCGATTGACCGGCCAGGGACCGGAATTAGCCGGTTTTCCGCATGATCGGCCCCGAACGGTCAGTTTGCCGGTGTTCTGACGATTTTTGACGATAC